AATGTGATATATATATAAAATGGAGTATTAGCCATAAAGAATGAAACTATTATGTTTACAGGTAAATGGACGGAACTGGAGAACATCTTCTTAAGCAAAGTAAACCAGGCTCAAAAGGTCAAAGGTCACGTTTTCCCTCATATGTGGAAACTAGACCTATAAGTCTATTTACACATAAATACATATATGATCCTATATATTACACTGAAGACTCTCCATAATCCAATCTAACATTAGCAACTTCTTCATTCTTAAATCTCCTAAATGAAACTTCTTCCATCCAAACTGGTTTATTAACTAACCTAGATATATTCTTTGCTTGTTTTCTCCTTTTTTCACTGAGGATTATACATAAGGCCTTGCATACTCAAAGTGCTAGTATCACTTTCACTTGAGCCACACCTGCAGATCTTTTGCTTGTATTATGTTTTTGAGTCAGGGTCTCATTATGTTGCCTGTGCTGGCCTCAAACTCTTAATCCTCCTGCCTCCCGAGTAGCTGGGATTACAGGCATGTACCACCAAGTCCAGCATTTCTTCTTTCTATTACTGCTAGTCCATACTCACCCCTCAACCCTTGCACTAGCCTAAAACCTGTTCATTTTATAAGAACAACCTAAGTTCAACCTTTTTTAAAAACTGACTATTCTGGTCCTTAGCTTAATTTTTGAATTTTTCCTGTATAGGGTCAGATCACTATGCTCCCTTCCATACTTCCCACTTTGTTGGCCCTCCCACTACATCTGTTCCTCACAGCCCTTAACCATTTACACCTATACACTGAGATTTGACTTTTGCATATAAACACCATGTCTTTATTATACCGTAAATCTCACTAAAGGCTAGATTTCATATAGTCAGAGAAAACAGGGCAAAGATAGCACTTTAGCCTCAAGTCTATTTAACAGTAAAAGAAGAAGGAACCGATCAGAAACCTGTCAGCAACAGTCTCAGTTAGGGTTTAACTCAAAGCATGTGACTCTGAAGGCTTAAATGCCTGGACTTAATGAGCTTTCTTGTTTTTAGGTTCTTATCTGGATATGCCCCAGCTCTATCAGCAGCAAACTATAAAAGCTTTCCACTGTGAATTGTGTTAGTCATTTAAGATGCCTTAAATCAGCCAGGCATCAATGGCTCACACCTGTAATACTAGCTACTTGGGAGGCTGAGATAGGGAGTATCACGGCTTGAGGCCAGCCCAGGAAACCAATTTGTGACCCCATCTCCAAAGTGCAAAAAAATGAACTGGAGATGTGGCTCAAGGGTGGAGCACCTGCTTTGCAAGCACAAAGCCCTGAGTTCAAACCCCATTGCTACAAAAAAAAAAAAAGAATGCCTCAAATCCTCTGGGAATAAGGCACTATACAACAAAATAAGGAACAGAGGAAAGTTAGCAGTCAAGTTCTTAGGCATGAGTACTTTAGTGGGAGAAGTATCCATTGCAAAAGAAACATCAGATCAGGAGCAAAATCCTTTGAAACTTACTGATCTTAGATCTTAGGCAAGCCCTTAACCTCCTTAACTTCTCTCAGACAATTTCTCCATTTAATAATGTGGATTAAACATTTACCACTCAGGGTTGCTATTAAGATTAAATGAGTACATATATATATATATATATACACACACACACACACACACATATGTATACACATTTAGCTTGGCCAAATCACAAAATATAATATATATATTAACTAGCACATTGCTAGCAAGACAATACTTCCTTAAAACACTGTACCCAACCATCTCCTCCTCTTCAAGGTCTTTAAACAGAGTAAGAAAATAGAGATTCTCCTGTTCCCTCTCTAAAGATGGCAATCTCTACCTGTCACAGAGAGGAAACCTAGATTCGAGTCTCACCATGTTTCTGATTCTTCCCAACATTAAGAACTTTCAGTTTGATAAAGGAAAAAGTGAGAGGCTTAGACTATCATCAAGTGGGACTCCTACAGAAAGAAGAGACAGTAATTCATAAAAGATAAAAGGTAAACCATTCAGCCTCTGAAGGCATTTGCAATTGTAACTACTGCTACTGGCAGTTCTTTAGAATTGCCCCCAGTTAGACCAAATGGCAGTAATTTAAAAAACATGTGGAATAGGCCAAAGAATAAGGAACACTTAGAAGTGAAGAGACCTGAGGTCATCCAGACCAAGCTTCTCCTTACACAGTTGAGGGGAAGAGATGCTAAGCTACATGCCAAGCTTCTTTTTTGACATCTCAGACACTCACTTTGTTGTTATAACTTTCCTATGATTTTATTTTTTTCCTTGCAATATCCAAGACACTTGTCCCTGGCAGAACACTTGCACAAAAGCAACTGTACACATATTCTTGCAGTTACCTGATTAAACCATCATTTTCCTGAGTAGGAAGCTATACAAAGGGAGTGACAGTGTGGCCTATAAACAGAAAACATACTTAGAAGTTTCCATAGTTCTCCTGAAGAAAGAAATTCCTAGGGGACTACAAAAATTATGTAGAAGTTTCTAGTGGTGATTACTAACTTCTTTCCTGTGCATCTTCAGGATGATACTACGAAGAAAAGTTGAGTTAGACTGTGAGATCAAGAGTACCAGATACCAGAAAACCAGCTCTGGGAAGTGATAAACAGAAACTTGAATCTTTTCTTGTCCACTGAACCAAATTCAATCCTAAACTTGTGACTCTACTCTCCTAGGAAGTTCTAAGTTCCTAAGACATGAAATGCTTACGAAAATTTCAGAAGCCACTTAGTAGATAAATCCATTAATTTTGGATAAATACATATACACACAGAAATTAAACCACTTTGGAATAAAATACATTAGCCTAGTCCCTTGAAGCTTGCCTTAACTTCAATGTTTTGGGGAAGTACTAACACTAAGAACTTTTTGTCTGCAAGATCAATAGGCTCAGAAATTTTAGTGAATGATGAGTTAAAAACATTAGATAATGCCTATGCAAATGCAAAAAAAATCAAGTGATATTATGCTGAATTTTCAAAATATTTAGTGCAAGAAAGATAGTATCAAGGTTCTGCTCTGCCCTGCCCTAGACAGAAGACCTGGAAATGTTGTGGCTGTCACAGCAAAGAGACTATGTCTGAGTACATTAAATTCTTGAGCATGAGGCAAAAGCATCCTCAAACATCACATGAGATAATTGTGCTAATAGGGTATTTAGGATAAAGAAGGAAGAGGCTAAACAGAACTAGAACAACTAAATATTTGCAGAGCAATCAGAAAGGAATTACCATTGTTTTAATTGGCCCTAAGAGAAAGTACCAATAGGTGAAAAATACATACAAACTAACTTTGGTTTGTTTGAAAATCTGTTTTTATCATGTTAGCCTCAAAAGTCAATAATTATTATGAGAGGAGACATTTATATAAAATTGCAAAGTTGAATGCAAAAAACTTAGGCAAACCAAACAAAAGTTTATGAGTTCATTTTGAGCATGACACTAAATCATAAAGATTAACAATGAGTTACACTCCCTTAAGACCAACTTCCAATTTTTTAGTAACAGGAAGGAATACACAAAGTATGGAATAAGTTTGAAAGTCATGTTTTACAAAGAATAATCTGTTGGGCATGGTGGTTCACATCTATAATCCGAGCTACCAGGGAGGTGAAGATTAGGAAGAATGCAGTTTGAGGTTAGCCTGGACAAAAGTTATTAAGACCCCATTTCAATACATAAGTCTCAAGTGGTGGTTTTGCATGTCCCAGCTACTGGGAGACACAGGTAAGAAGACTGGGGTTAGAGACTGGCTGAGGCAAAAATGCAAGACGCTATCTGAAAAACAATGAAAAACGAGGCTGGGGAGAGGGCCTGAGTTCAAATCTCACTACCACCAAAAAAATCAGAAAATGAATAATCTATCAGTGTGATTGAACTATTTCAAAATTCCAGATAAAAAAGTTGGACTGTTCTAGATAGTAGCAATGGAAACAGAAAGGAGTGAAAGGATTTCAGAAATCTTTTAGAGATAAGAGCTCACAGATAGTACTTGATGATTTATTAGAGACTCTTGGAATTCAGTAGTTAGCACCCATAACCAGTAACAACAATAGCAAGCACACAGGACTTACCATATGTATAACAATGTTCTAAAGATTTTACAGAGATTAACTCATTTCATTCTCACAACACTATGAAGTGTATTTATGACCATCCTAATTTTACAGATGAGAAACTACAGCTTATATCAGTTTTCTCGGCCAATAAATACCAGAAAAAAAACCCAAAACACTAATAAGAGGTTAGATTTGGCGCTAGGTAGCGTAATCCTAAAGCTAAAATTCTTAATGGATAAACTAAACAGCTGTAAGCGAAAACAATAAAGTCCAAAGAAGGGAGTATGCAGTAATGTTAGGAGCCCAATTTAGTGAAGAGTGTCCATGGGATCTGGCTAGGTTAGAATCACGTGGTGTTTGTTTTGAAAACAAACAAAAAAGCCGTATTGAACCCCAAACCCTAAAGATGAGGCCCAGGAATTAGCATTTGATTCTTTTTAATTAAAAAAAGAAAAGAAGCAAAACCCAAAAAAATTTTTGAATTATTTTGGGGTGGTATCAAGGTTGGAAACTTCTGTAATAGGTGTGAGGTCTTTTCCTGCTTTAACGTTTAGTTGACACTGTGACTGAATTTCCAGGAAATGAAAGAACCGAGAAAAGTGGTATGCATTAAGAGTTGATGTGGTCTCAATGGAAGGACGGGTCCATGATCCAAGGGCTAAAAACGGCTGGCTGGCATTAGCAGAAAGAAACTCTTGCTTACTTTCAATACGTGTGGCAGTCACTGGATTAGGACACAAAGACTTCAGATCCGTTGCCTGGCTAACGAGGGATGCCAAAATACTCTTTCTACGTGCCGGAACACGTTCCGGGAGGCTTCGAGGTTGGGGCCCGCCTGCTCCGAGGCCAGGTAAATCCCGGCTCCTCAAAAGGAACGTCTGCTAGCAATTACACCCTCAAGACATTCCCCCACCCCCGCCCCTTCTTAAGTCCGCACGTACCTGAGGGTCCCCTAGTAAGATTGATCTCTTCCTCGGTGACCAGGTAATCCACCCTCCCGTTCATGTTTCACTCGTCGCCTCGCTTCCTCCTTAGGTCAGCCAGGCTCCGTACAGATGAAGGTGAATCAAGCGCCGCGCCGCGTTCCAAAGCACAGCCCTTTCGGTTTCTTCAGCCTGCGGACCGGAAGAGGAAGCCGCTGCCGCTGGGGGCGCTAGGAATGCTGGGAATCGTGGTTCACCGCGCCGCGGGAACCCTTTCCCTCACCTCTTTCTTAAGGTCAGCTCTGAGGTGAGCCAGGAAGAAGGTACCGTCATCCTAGCTTATCATCCAAAGCGGGTGGGAAGGTGGGGACAGAGGCGGCTAGTAAAAGTAGCGGGCATAACTAAATTGATAGCGTCGAGGAAAATTTTAAAATAAAACCTGCCATGTCAAAAAATCTTCACCAATGTTGGGAAAGAGGGAGGAAGACAGGGAGGAAGAAGAAAGGGCGGAACGAAAGAAGAAAGGGTTTTGTTATTCTATAAGCATGAAATCAGACTAGGATGGGCGTCATAGGCAGTCTACTAGTAGATTGGTAAATCGGATAGAAATCGTACCTTTTATATCTCCAAGCAGTTACAATCCATTACACGCATAATCTCATGTAAAACAAACAAACAAACAAAAAAAACCTTAACAACATGGAATACTTATTCATTCTTTGGTAGTTCATCCTTGGGATAGCCATCTGTGTTAATTAACTGCCTTTATCCAAAGGAAAAACGAAACTGTCTCTCTGACAGCATATAATTAACAGCTTAGAGCACTTAGACTAACTCCCATGGTGACAGGAGATAGGGGCACTGTCTTTCTTGATATTCATATTTCAAAGAGCTGTTCCTCAGGACTTTAATAAAAAGATTCCTGACTTGTGACTGACAAGAGGCTTTATTGCGGGAAACGGCAAGGGAAACAAAGTCACTGAGACCATTTTTACAGGAAGCAGGGAGTTTATTATGCTAGCAGACTCAGGGGAGATAATTTCTCAAAGCCCGGAGCCCCGATCTGTGTCAGGAGCTGAGTTAAATACTTACTGAGTTTGGCCCCTTACCCCCTGCAGAATGCGGTCACAGTTACAGTAAACATTGCAGAGCTAGCTGGAGGCTTGCAACTTTGCAGCGCTAACAGAAAGCTGCTAATAGTCTCAGAGTGGGGAAACTAAGGTGAATACCAGACACAGTGAATCCCAGGAAAATAGTCAAGCTGGCCCCAACATTCCCCCCTTTGATTCTTTGACATTTTATTTGTCAAAATGCATCATCTCTTTCTTTTTTAGGAATGGGATTTACTCTTTGGTAACCTTGTAATAGATATAATTGGCCGTTTTTCCTTTCACTTGCTTTTATCAGGGTAGATATGGAATGCATGACCAGTGGCAACAAGCATAGGAGTATAAGACAACCCAACACCATAATTAATACAGCCCCTAACATTGTTTTAAATTCTCCACTTGTAGGGAACCATCTTCCAAGTAAATCATCAAGATTCCATTCTTTTAAAGTCTGAACTGGGACATGAGCAATCGTTTTCATTTTATCTGTGATTTTTTTTTATTATCTTTACTGTATAATGGCATTTTTAGTCCGAGTAGTATACAACTCATAGAACGAGGGGATCGGGTTTGCAAAAATGAACCATAATACAAGGAACCAAAAACAATACCACATCCTCTTAGCAGGAGAAAAAAAGGAAACTGCCAAGAAAGACTTTTGATCTGGCTTTATCACAGTGGGGCAGTTGCTGTTATACCTATTGACAAAAGCAAAGCAAGGTTACAATACCAAGAACAGAGATAGGCAAGAGATGGCAGAACTTAAGTATCACTACAGAACACTAACTATAGAAACAGTAGTCCATTAATTGTTTAGTTCATTCCTCAAGCTTCCTCCATGCATTGACTAGTCAGCTTCCAGTTTGTGACTAGGGCAAGGCTGAAGATCCCATCCTCAGGGTTAGTTTGAGCAAATTGTTAGAGTCTAGTTGTCTCTTTTTTTTTTTTTTTTTTTACATGGGTGTGATGGATCCACGGGGTGATTTTTTGCATCTTGATTGTTGTGTGGGTAGTTAGTTTCACCAAATAAGGTGCCCTCCACTGAGGTCAGAGAGGCTGGAGATTTTACTCTTTTTACTCAAACCCGGTCACCTGGCTTAAAGGAATGCACATCAGTAGTTAAGCTGATAGGGAGTTTTTCTTGAACATGGTGGTGTGGGACATTGAGCACCTCTCCTAAACCATGCATCTGTTGGAGCAAGGTTAGATTTTCTATTTTTTAAAAATCTCTCTTAATGTCTTTTACTAGTGGGGGTAGATGTTTAAAGAGAATCTCAATGAACCAATAAAGAAATGGGCAAGTGAACTAAACAGAACTTTCTCAAAAGAAGAAATTCAAATGGCCAAAATACACATGAAAAAATGTTCACTATCTCTAGCAATAAAGGAAATGCAAATTAAAACCACACTAAGATTCCACCTCACCCCTGTTAGAATAGCCATCATCAGCAACACCACCAACAACAGGTGTTGGCGAGGATGCGGGGGAAAAAGGAACCTTCTTACACTGTTGGTGGGAATGTAAACTAGTACAACCACTCTGGAAAAAAAGTTGGAGGCTACTTAAAAAGCTAGACATTAGTCTACCATTTGATCCAGCAATACCACTCTTGGGGATATACCCAAAAGACTGTGACACAGGTTACTCCAGAGGCACCTGCACACCCATGTTTATTGCAGCACTATTCACAATAGCCAAGTTATGGAAACAGCCAAGATGCCCCACCACTGACGAATGGATTAAGAAAATGTGGTATCTATACACAATGGAATTTTATGCAGCCATGAAGAAGAACGAAATGTTATCATTCGCTGGTAAATGGATGGAATTGGAGAACATCATTCTGAGTGAGGTTAGCCTGGCCCAAAAGACCAAAAATCGTATGTTCTCCCTCATATGTGGACATTAGATCAAGGGCAAACACAACAATGGGATTAGACTATGAGCACATGATAAAAGCGAGAACACACAAGGGAGGGGTGAGGATAGGTAAGACACCTAAAAAACTAGCTAGCATTTGTTGCCCTTAATGCAGAGAAACTAAAGCAGATACCTTAAAAGCAACTGAGGCCAATAGGAAAAGGGGACCAGGAACTAGAGAAAAGGTTAGATCAAAAAGAATTAACCTAGAAGGTAACACCCACGCACAGGAAATCAATGTGAGTCAATGCCCTGTATAGCTATCCTTATCTCAACCAGCAAAAACCCTTGGTCCTTCCTATTATAGCTTATACTCTCTCTACAACAAAATTAGAGATAAGGGCAAAATAGTTTCTGCTGGGCATTGAGGGGGTGGGGGGAGAGGGAGGGGTGGAGTGGGTGGTAAGGGAGGGGGTGGGGGCAGGGGGGAGAAATGAACCAAGCCTTGTATGCACATATGAATAATAAAAGAAAAAAAAAAGAGAATCTCATAGGGCGAGAACCCAGTTTGTTTGGTGGAGCTGCACCTGATACTAAGTAAAGCTAATGGCAAGATCTGTTTCCAAGTTAGGTGAGTCTCCTGACAGAGTTTACTTATCTGAGCTTTTAGTGTTCCATTCATCCTCTCAACCTTGTGTGAACTCTGAGGCTGGTATATCGTATGAAGGTTTTAGGTTATTTTTAGTCTCTTTACATTATATATATGTAGCCCCATGTACATGAAGAGTGGTAAAAGCATATTTAGAGTCTGTGTATATATTAAAATTTTCCCAGCTGCCAGTTGGAGGGCATCTGTCAGTGCAATGAGCTCTTCCTTTTGTGTTTATGTGCCAGGAGCTGTGCCTGAGCTTTTAAGACTGAGGCACAACTGAATGTGGGACCCTCCCAGCGTTAGCTTTTGTTTGCCTCTGACCAGCAAGGCTGTGGCTGCGAGAGCTTGCAGGCAGGGAGGCCACCTCCTTGTGACTGAATCCAGCTGCTTGGACGGATAAGCCACCTGCCAATGCCATGAGCCAGGTATTGGGTCAAATCGTCAATTGCCATGCCGCTTCTCTCATGAACATAGAGGAAGAAAGGCTTTCTCACATCTGGGAGTCCCAGAGCAGGGGCACTGACTAATGTCTCCTTGATGGCACAAAAAGTCTGTTGTTGTTTAGATTACCAGATTAGGGACTCCTTTTTGCCCCTCTTTGTGGCTTCATATAAAGGCTTTGCTAGAAGTGAGAAATTAGGTATCCAAATCTGGCAGAACACATTCTCTCACAAGAACTCACAGATATGTCTTGTAGTCAGAGTTGGGATTGAGCAGACACCTTGTGTTCTTTCTGCACCAAGGTTCCTCTGGCCTTGGGAGGTGTAGAACCCCAAATATTTGACTTGGTCTTGGCAGATCTGAGCCTCTTTGGAGGATACTTTGTATCTAACTTCCCATAAGAGATGGAGTAAGAATTCTGTCCTTCTAAGACAGTCCTGGTGGTTACCTGCTACAAGGAGAAGGTCATCCACATACTCTAAGAGAGTGCAGCCAGCTTCCTCTGCTAGGTATGCCTGCAAATCTGATGACAGAGGAGTTCCAAAAATGGTTGGGGAGCTTTTGAAGCCTTGTGGGAGACGGGTCTAGGTTAATTGCTGTTGTCCCCCTACTTTCCTCCCTTTGGAAAGCAAAGATGGGTGGGCTGACAGGTGCCAACTGGATGCAGAAGAATGCATCTTTTAAGTCCAAAGATGAGAAGCAGGTTGCTTCTGCTGGTATCAGGACCAGCAAAGCATATGGGTTTGGAACCACCAGGTGCAGAGTTACTGCTGCTTGATTGCCCAGAGATCTTGCATTGGGCAGTAATCATTGGTGCCTGGCTTTTGAACTGGCAGCAAGGGAGTGTTTAGGCAGATTCACAAGGTCTCAGGATTCCATAGTTCAAGAGTCTCTGGAGGTGATGATATATCCCTTTTTGTGCCCTCAATGGGATTGGGTATTGTCTCAGTCTTACTGGGATGACTCCCAGCTTTATCTCTATCACCACTGCAGGAATGTTGATGACTAGCCCTGGAGGATTGTCTTCTGCCCAACTCTGGACCTTAAAGGACATCTCTGGCCCCTTTAAGGCAGTCTCTACTGAATGTAATCTCCACTCTTCTTCCTGGGGAGTGATGAG